GCTCAGGTAAACACGTTACCAAAAGGGTTAACTATATATGTTTTATCAGTAAAAGTAGAACTGTGATACTATAATTCTCCTGTGTGTGGGGTAACCTAAGACGCCCGGGTTTAAAAGTCTTGGTGGTGGCAGTAAAGTGTACTAAGGGGTTTAGTGTAGAAGGGATTGCAGGGGTTAATTGAGTGGTTGCTGGGACTAGCAACAGGTAACCAGGGGTCTGGTGTCATTAACCCTGTCACTTCCACACTCTCCCCACTGTCTCGGCTGGGCCTATAGCCCACGAACGTGACAGTAAGACTATGGGAAAGACTTTGGCTCCATGGCAATTGAACTGTATGCGTGTGCTCTGAGCGCCATTCAGTAATAATGTGCGCTCAGATCTGAGCTATCTGGGGATATGTTGAATGTACCTGTTTTGTGCAATGGCTGCACAGTTACTTCCCAATTATCTCCAGGATAGAAGACTCTGTGGAACTGGTTTTGGGCAGAAAAGCCATGCTTCCTTTGGTCACAAAGGACTACAATATATCTTTTGAACCACTGGACCAATTTGGATGATTTTGACATATGCTTGTATTTGGAGTATGCTGATTCTGAAAATGTAAGTATGTGATGCATACTTTTCAAGTTATGAATAATGTGGAAAAATTGTATTTATCTACTTGTGATAATTACATTACCCATTGTGTAAGGTAATTGTATCACAGGCAGAGGGGAGGATTTTGTGTGGGAGTGTCTGAGTGTATTGTATGTGTTTATTGGTAGTGTTCCAAAACCCTGTGGGTGGTACTAATGTGTATATAAGAACAATAAACCCACAGCTCTGTCTATTCACTGCTTGACCCTCAACACAGAGCTTTGTCTCGTTCTTGGGGGGGATTTATTGTATGCTGTTCCAGTTCGACTGCTAGGAGTGTAAACCTTTCGTATGGTTTTTCCTATTCGGCTGTTTACAGCATTCATATGGTTCCAGTTCGGCTGTTTACAGCATTCATATGGTTTCCTGTTCGGCGGATGGTGTTCTGCAGTAGCTGTGCCTGTGCATCTGAAAGGGGAATATCGCCTAAACGTTTTTTAACCTCTTGTGGGCAAAATGGTCCATTACAATACATCAGTGAGGGGTTGGGGGAGGAGCAGAGGGAAGAAAATGACTGACAGGAAACTCAAGCACTAATGTCTAATGAGAGCTTGATGGGTGGTAGTCGCATTTGTTATGCTTATAATACATGTACTAGTTATTGTTCCAACACTGTACACTGTACATAGTTGTGCCAATCAGGTGCCTCATGCAGTCCCCAAACTCTTTGAGAACGGGCCACACATAGAGCACGCACAAATACTGGGGCCTGCTCTGTGCACACAATAGTCACAGCAACGACTACACAAGCTGACCCAGTCAATGAAAGATGTAATTAGACAGATATGACTGCAGTGGATATTGTTTTGTACTACTCATTTATGTCCCCCTTCACCCTTTTCTTTTCTGTATCCCGAAACCCATTTGAAAAACAAAAACAAATCGAATGTAAAAAAATAAAAAATAAAAGTTGATGTAGACGTAAAATTGCTGACAGCCGAAAGAGTACACACAAAGGTAGCCCAACTGTTAATAGTGTATCCCTACAACGGGCGTGTATCAATAACCTTGTACTATGTTACTCATTGAAGAATGCAGCATGGTAATGACTCCCGCTCATATTGTATATATTGAATCTAATGTACCACATTCAAATCCCTTCTCCCTTTTCTTTTCTGTACCCCCATTTTTTACTTATGACAAAATTGTCAAATTTGAAAAAAATATAGAACAGCCTACATATTAATTCACGTAAACCAACATAGACCTACAGCTACAAGCAAACTTTAAACTATAACGTAAAAGACATATTACGTGCAATCAGGTCATACAATACCTTCTGTCAAAAAACAAACATACAGGGGGCGTGATCTGACCTCGGAGCGAGCTGGACGCCAGAGAGTAGAGCTCCTCACCGGCCCCACGAACAACAACTAATATTAGCACCTTGAACAACCCCAATAGCAGCAGGTAACACCCTGTGCCCACCATGGACGCCCGTACCCTGAGGAAATCCATCAAAAATGTGTCCAGACCCGACATCAACGGTCTTGGACCTGTTTGCGGCCTCGCAAGCTGGAATGTCAGATACACAAGATGGCGACAGCCCTCGTGTGCACGCCCCAACGTCGCCTGTATCGGACACCTCTCAGAAGTCCGACGGACCGCAGACAGAAGCCAGCCACATCCTCACAAAACTGGCTGAACTCAAAGCATGCCTGGCTAAGGAAATCACACGTACCTCTAAGGAGGTCAAAGATGAGATCCAGGAGTTGGGGGCATGAACCACGGCGGCCCACAACCAAATTGCGGACCATGTCACACACCTGACCAACAGACTGGAAACTGCAAAAGTGGCTCTGGAAGACCTATCCAACAGGTCACGCCAAAATAATTTGCGCATACGTGGGCTACCGGAGAAAGCGGGGGAGGGACCTCTCCTGGATACCATCATGTCGATACTGCGCCCACTGCTGCCGGACATCCAGGATGACTGCTCACCGGGCACTCCTAATGAGGAGAACAGGGAAGACGCAACCACGCAATATCATTGTGCGCTTCTTACATTTCCAAGCAAAATAAGCCATTCTTCAATGGGACAGAGAAGGCCCCATCAACTACAAGGGAAACAGGCTTACGGTATACCAGGACCTGTCGCCTGTTACCTTGCTCAAGCGCAAAGAGTGGAAGCCGATCACAGACCTCCTGCGGACCCAAAGCATCCGCTACGCCTGGGGGCACCCTTCTAAATTAATTGCATTCAAAGATGGCAAGACATGTGCACTACAGCCCGGTGCAGAGCCCAGAACTTGCAGATCAACACCCCAGGCAACATCCGGATACCGAAGAAACCCATCCCAGCCCTCCCAACCGTACCCAGAGACTGGTACACCGTCGGAGAGTGACACCAACCTGCTGGAACATGGCAATACCTGGCAACGCACTGGACAACTGTCCTGCACTTCCTGGACTCCTTTAGGGTCCACATAAGGTACTTTGGCTACGCTGATAATAGGGAATTGGGGAGGGAGGTGCTCCACGACTATTTGGGAGGGGGATGGGACACCAAAGGGCTTCCACCAACCCTACACAACGTGCAATTCAATAATGACCTGTGGGACAATTCATAAACGAAAGACGGGGGGAGGGTAAGCATGAAAAAATGATGGGGGAGGATAGAAGCTTAAAGGAAATTTGCTACATGGGGGGGAGGAGGGTGGAAACCAAAAAAAACCAAAAACACAACAACAACACCAATTAACCCCTTAAGGACCAAAATTCTGGAATAAAAGGGAATCATGACATGTCACACATGTCATGTGTCCTTAAGGGGTTAAAAAAAAAAGCGGGAAAAAAATTTATATTTTTAAATAAATAAATGAATTAAAAAATAAATAAATAACCACCCCCCAAAACGTTGTAAGGATATGCAAATCTAGTATTGTCGGGATCCAGAAGATCCAAAAGACCCTTAGACTGGTACGTACACTACGCTAAGCTCTAACAGTCAGATGGCGATGGAAGGAAATTGTTGTACAACAATGTCTTCGCCTGTTATTATGATGTTATGATGTTGTTACAGTTCACCCACTCCTCCCAGTACAATAGTGCACTTCTTTCACGCCCGACCACCCAGTTAGCATAATCTTGACACCATAACACCCGCCCGTACGCACACACCGCACAGATAAGTCATAATAAAAATTTACCCACCTTGAGTACAAACGCTAGTAGGACCTAACCCTGCCAAACCGTACCCAACCAAAGGAAACATTCACACGTCTGTGGGAGGGTCCCTGGACACGGACCATACACTTGCCCAGGCGCTTAATTCGGACATAGCATTTGTTCAGGAGACTCATTTACCAAAGTCAGCCCAATTATCCCTTAAAGACCGCATATTTATTACGACAACTGAAGCTAGGACGCACCAGAAAACAAAATGGAGTAGCTATACCACTACACAAGAGATACCCACTCTCGATCAAAGGAACTGTCTCAGACCCAGAGGGATGGAATATCGTCCGGACAGGACGTATGTTCTACCAAACAATTAATCTTATTAACATTTATGCCCCAAACACTCCCACACTGACATTCTGGGATAAGTTGATCTTGATTATTGATTCATTGCCATGCAGTATTATCATAATGGATTGGGATTTCAACGCAGTGCCGTGTCCAGCCGCCGACTGAAGCGCAAAACCAGGGATGATTCGCTCCCATGGTATGGGTGCCCATGATAAACTCGTCCATAACTTCATTCGACATACGGGTCTCATCGACTCTTGGAGAGCACAACACACATGCACCCAAGACTTCACGGATCACTCAGCCTCTCACAACACCTTTTCGAGGATCAACTACTTCCTCACAAATACCCTCGGAATGCACAAAGTCGTACAGACAAACATCAGCTCTATCAGCTGGTCGGACCATGCCGTTATCAGTATAACCCTCGGTAACATTAGTGCTTTATCCCCATGGATATGGAGGCTGAACACCTCCCTTCTAAAAGATTCCATCCTACTGCAACGTATACGTAACTAAATTACTAACTTCCAAACCAATATAACCCCGGGGGTATCGGCTGCCACAGTTTGGGCAGCGCACAAAGCAGTAATTAGGGGCTTCCTAATACAAACCACAACCTACAGGAAACAACAGAAAACCGAAATGCTCACAGTAAAACTAAAGTCGCTCCGGAACCTAGAACAACAGCACAAGATGAACCTTACCCCGCGGACATTGGCAGGGCTATGGGCTCTACGACATTCCAGTAAAGATATCCTCCTAGAAGACACAGCCCGCTCCTTACAATGGTCCAAACTGACATTTTACGAAAAGTCCAATAAGATGGACACAATGCTGGTGCGGACCCTATGTCCCAGAAAGAGACAGCCCCACATAACGGCTAACAAAGCTATAGACGGCACCATCAAAAACTCCCAAAAGGAGATCACTCAAATCTTTACCGACTATTACCAATCTTTATACAACCAAGCAACGGACAATGACACCAGAACACCAGTAACGCGGGAACGTATTCGAGCCTACCTACTGGGAATCAACCTGCCCAAACTACAAAACAAAGCAGTGAGGTCCCTGGAAGCCCCAATTATGCAAGACAAAATAGAAGAACTAACACCACAGTTGAAATCCCTCTTTAACAAACTCAGAATGGATAGCACACCAGATTGAGACATGGCCCTCGCCAATATAGTACTACTTCCCAAACCAGGTAAGGATCACACACTTCCCGAAGCATATAGATTGATTTCACTCATCAACCAGGATGTGAAAATATTCACTAAGATATTAGCAGAGCGACTTAATCCCTTTCTAGGACGCCTGTTCAATGCAGAGCAGGTAGGCTTTGTACCAGGACGCCTCTTTGAAAATACAAGGCGGAACATCGACTTCATTTGGAAATTAACAACATCTTGTATGCATTCCCTGGTGCTCTCTCTCGACGCCGAAAAGGCGTTCGACAGAGTCCTGTGGCCCTTCATGTACAACTTCTTGGAGCACCTGGGCTTTCCAGAACCTTATGTCACGGTGGTGAAGCACGTTACATGAATACAGCAGCGCAGATAAAAATCACGGGAGCAGACACTAAGCCATTCCCCCTGTGCAATGGAACCAGACAGGGCTGCCCCCTTTCACCTCTACTGTTTGTTCTGACACTGGAGCCGCTCCTCCAGACTATCAGAGAAGACCCTGACATTAGAGGTGTGGACAACAGTTTTCGAGTTTTGGGCTATGCAGATGACATCCTCCTCACTTTGACACGACCAGTCGAATCCATGCAAGCCTTATCGAATATTTTAACCGACTATGGAGCACTCTCAGGCTACAAAGTAAACATGGGGAAATCTAGCGCACTCCCAATAGCTCTCTCTGCTGCAGACACAGCACTGGTGAGGGTAACTTATCAGGTCCAAGTAGTCCACAACTTTATCAAATATTTAGGGATACGACTACCAGCCGACCCCACAAGACTATTTCACCTTAATTATAGCACCCTGTTCAAGACGTTAATAGATGACATGGAAAAGTGGACAGACAAACCAATCTCATGGCTGGGCAGGATACACTGTCAAAATGAATTTACTCCTGCGCATATTATTCCTGTTCCAAGCTTTACCCATATACCTAATTAAGAAAGACTTAACCCCACTTCAAAACGCTATCAATAACTTTGTCTGGCAGGGAAAAAGGCACAGAGTGGCATGTAATATTCTATACTGTCCTAAATCGGCAGGGGGATTAGGCTTCCCACATTTACATTACTATTTCTTAGCAGCACACTGGGGAACTCACCACCTGACGAACGTAAATGGGTGGATCGAGAATCCCTGCTGATGGGATTTGACCTCCCCCAATTCTTTTTTTTGGACCCATAGAGTCCAAAGGGCACTCTTGAGAACAGACTGCCAAGACTCTCCTCCCTCCGGGTGTGGGACAGATGCACCCTGAAATATGACCTGACAACAAAACAATCCCCACTAATGCCCATACTACGCAACAAAGCTTTCCTACCCGGAATTAGACCTAGAGACTTTAGGGGAATAGAACATGCGGGCCTCCAACGAATCAACCAAATGTGCATAGGTGACAGCATTATCCCCTACGACAAACATAAAACTAGAACTACATTGACAACATCAGATTACTTCCAGTACCTGCAGGTCAGGGACTTTGCCCAACGACCACATATCAAACAAGCTGCCCGAACACAGCTGACATTCTTCGAAAAGATCTGCAACGCAGAAACCTATCAAAAAAGGGCCTCATTACCGGGTTTATTGGCATTTATGCACCAACACAGAGGACTGGGGGGCATTGCGTTATACAGATCAGTGGGAAGCAGAGCTGGGGGAGACCCTAGAGGGCACTGAGTGGCTGGACATCTGGGAAGCCAATGGGCACACCTCAATATGTGTAACAATGCAAGAACAATTGTACAAAATAATGTTCCAGTGGTACACATCCCCAGTCAAGCTTTATCACATGCACAAAACCCCGCCCGACAAATGTTGGCGACTATGTGGACATAAGGCCACGTACAAACATATGTGGTGGGACTGCCTCAAGATCCAAACGCTGTGGGGAAAAGTAAGCGAACTGATAGCAAACATTTTCCATAGACTAATGACACCAGACGCATGGGTTCTCTTGCTATCTAGACCACTCGACGGATGGACCAGACCAGAACAAAAACTAATTCAAAAAATAGCCCTGGCAGCCAGAAGGTCAATAGCCCAGACCTGGCTGGGAGTAGAAGTCCCGTCCATGGACATGGTACTACTAAAACTTAAAGATACGTACCTCATTGACAAACTGACTGCCCAAGTGAGAGGAACACTAAAAACCTTCGCTAGGGTATGGGAGCCATAGGAATCCTTTCTCGACGAATCAACATAACCTAAGGTGGGCATGCCGGCCCTCTGGTGGGGGGGCACCTGGGTGCCACTCCGCATCTTTATCTCTAGTGCGGCAAACCCTACTCCTACTATTCCCCTTCTTTTCTTCCTCCTCTTCCCCTTCTCCACCCTCCCCATTTTCTCTTATCCTCAGCTTTCTCTCTCTCTTAATCTCTGGAAGGGATTGACCCTCGACCGGAAAATACTTGAAGAGTGGATAACAATGAGACGATACATGATCCCTCAGAGACAATGGACAGACATCAAGCACCCAAAATATCCACTACGCACTTGGCTGATGGGACACGTGGCACACACTCACATTAACAACATAGAATTTTGGTCGAGAAGTTCCTATCTTGTTTCAATACTTCCTGTGCAGCACAGTCAGAAATGTGTTATGTATCTGTACTTATGCTCCAGACGGAAATATCCTTCTCATCTTGTACTATGTATCATGTAATGTTATTCTAGCAGCCATCTATCATCCACCTGACATGTCTTGTGCCCTTACCACTGTCAAATACCTGTACAAAAGTCTGTCATTGTGCAATATCTACTGCTCAAGTCTAAATAAAGAATGTAAAAAAAAAAAAATTACGTTACCACACAAACATACTAGGAGGACAATTACAAGGTAACATCAAACGTAAATTTATAAAATTTAATCCGTACAATCTACTTGACAAGTACAAATAGTCAAGCATATATTACTATCAAACCTAATCCCTTGAAAATTAAGCATAAACTTAATTTCAACCCCTTAATCTGCTAGGTCCAGTAGTAACCCAACCATACTTAAAACCCCTTAAAAGGAGAATCAGTTTACCCAGGTATGTATCACTTTGAATTGATATTAAACGCTCAAACATTCTTGGTGAAGTTGCCAACCATAGTCTTGGTTATCAACAGGTGATACATACTAATAAATCAGACATCCCGTCAAGCCATAAGACCCCTTCAAAAAAGTTAACAGGTATGCTACATCCTTCATACCTTTTACCCCAAGCATCGTTAATTGGCAGTTAGGGTACTAGAATGACCCCATATACAAATTAAGGTACTTTGGAAGTTTCCGCGAGACCAGCACCCATCCTCACATAGAGGTATTTTTGCCCATCGGTCCAAATCATAGGTATAGTCTCGCAACACTCTGCTAAGAGGTTTAGAAAGGGCACTTTTCTAATCCTTTTACCACTTATCAAGTTCCCCAGCGGCCTACACCCTGCATCCGTTTTAATGGCACAGCACAGGGCCAAATCATAGACAGCGCCTCTATCAGCCACTTGGCAATTAGCAGGGCCTCACTATCTCACAAGTAGTTAAGTTCTTTGCCACCTAGCATTTAAAGAGACGCCAGTTAACGCAAGTCACAAATAACCATATCGGGATAAGTCTCACATTTAAATTTCATTATAGCATGCCTCACGGAGAGGACTTCTCCCTACCCAGCACGCCAGCTAAATCACCCACTCCAACTACAGCCCCTACATAAGGTGAGAATCGAGACCCTTCATGCCCCTATTCTTTAAGATCATGGACGATCCCAAAGATTGCCACAGAGCTGAGGCATAGGATCATACCTTATCGTGCCACCACCAGGAAGGCAGAGTTATACAGAATTATGATGACCAATATGGATAATCCACAGCCATGGTCCAGTACTCAAGATAACATTAATGACACTCTAACAGGGATTCAGACCACAATGACAGCCATGCTGGCATCCATCAATAATTTGAACCAAAGAATGGAAAAGTTGGAATCTTCAGCACCAGCTACCGTGTGTCTCCCAGATATCCCTTCAACACAAATCATCGACCAAACTGTCTCACAGGGTAATGTCACAGGTAAACAGAATTTACAGGGTTCCGCTACACATATCATCACACCAGCACATACGGTCCCTCCCAACATCAAGAAAGACATATTGGAGGGAAAGGACGTAAACTTCATATCCTTACTGATTTCAATCCTAAGACATAGTAGAAAACAAGACATACAACTACGGTGACCTGTCATTGGTGCTCAAAGCCAAAGATCCTAGGTTAAGTAAAAAGTTGTCCATACCAGACTTTGTACTAGTCTTTGGGTTATATAGAGACGTAATATGCTTCAATTTTCCCCAACATAGAGAGGAACTGGACTTGACCATGTACACGTTGGTAGATCTGGGGAACAAGTACGGTGGTACCAATTTTTACGATTATCACAAATCAGTTTCATCCAAGGCAGCACCAATCTTTGTGCAGTTCAACATCAGGATAGATTGGAGTCACATGGACACTGAATTGTGCTGTCACCACTTTGCCAGGCTAGTACCACCGGCTTGTGCAATTTGTTCTTCAAACTCTCATTCTACCAATTTGTGCTCCAACAAGCCCAGTTTACCCACCACTAGCTATACCACCCCTAGCACAAGTAGAACCAAACAGAAAGGGTTAAAAGACAAACTGGGGAGACCTATTGTGTTTCTGGGCAAGGCACAGATATGTAACAACTTCAACGCAGGAGACTGCAATTTCAGCACCTGCAGGTTGTTGCATGTCAAGACCATGTGCCCAAACCACCTCTTCCCCAGCAAATGACTGACCGACATTCAGGTCAACACGTTGGCTTTTTACCTTAACTCTCACGCTTCACAGGATTTAGTACAATTCCTACTCAAGGTTTTCACGGTGGGGTTCCACACAGGGTTAATCGCACTGCCAACAGGCACACTTGAGTGTAACAATCTACAATCAGTCACTATAGAACCAACTATAGTAGACAACC